TGAGGTCAGAAGTTTAAGACCAGACTGGGTAATCCAACTCTAAAAAAGAAATAAGAAAGAAAGAAAGAAAAAGAAAGAAAGAAAGAAAGAAAGAAAGAAAGAAAGAAAGAGAGAAAGAAAGAAAGAGAGAAAGAAAGAAATCTCACCTGAAAGGATAGACCTAACACATGCGCACACTCTTGTGCCATATATATAAATATACATATACATGCACACATGTATAATGTATTTGAAGTTTTCGGTTACAAGTAACAGAAAACTCAACTCAAATTGGCCTACACCAAAAATTTTGACATAAAAGTATAGCAAGAAAAGTATATATGGGTTAGATAGCTTCTATGGAAGAGTGAGAAAGTTTCTTTCTCAGAAACTCCAACAGATTTTTTTTTACTTCTCATTGTCGGAATTGGGTTTCAAGCTCCAATCCCTGTAACCAGTGAACTGAGGTATGAAGATAGCCTTAAATTAAACCCTGGAGTGGGTGGGTCTCAGTGTCAAATTTTCAGAAGGGTTTAGACTGCATAGGACAAAGGCAGGTCTCCAAAGAAAAATCAGATTTTGTTACCAAGAGATAGGTGGACTAGATCCTAGGTGGCCTAGGTGCATAAATGTTCCTACCTCCTGACTCCCATACGTGTTTACACATATCATGATTGTCAGAATTTTTACAAAGATTCCCTTTATTACTGATTTAATTTCTTCACCTCATGTTTTTACAGATTCTGTCTACTAAGAAACTGAGTGCATTGTTATAACTAACTCATTTTTGCATATTCTTGCATGAGAAGCTGGTGTTACTACAATGAGTTTATATAATTCCAGCCAAGATGAAAGCAATAAAATTGATGTTTTAGATAGCCTAGGGGATCTTAGGAAGTAAATGTACAATTGAAATTAGAATTATTGAAATCTTAATAATAGCAGATTACTTGCAGGAGTCAGGGCCTCTTTTGGGAAGCACTTTTGTAAAATATGCCTTCTTGGGTCAAAATTTGATGGCGACTTTTCTGGAAAATGTAGAAAATCAAGAAGAACAATCTGTTGCACATATAACTTTGGGTAGATTTGCTCTTGGTGTGCCTCATCCACCTAATCCTCTTCTTTCCTTTTCACTTCCTTTTTTCTCCAATGACATGCTATCACTGAAGAGGCTCCCCTGCTGGAAAAAGTACTTTGAAGTAATTAAACTTCTTCCCTGAGGGTTTTAAAAAAATAAAACATAGTTATTATTCAGAGAGTATATTTATTAGCAGCTCTCTAATCTCAATGTTTTAGCAAAATGAAAGTTTATTTCTTATTCAACCCATAGTCCAAAGTGGGTTGCTTGCATACTGATACTGGGCTTTGCTCCATGAAGTGACACAAGGATTCAGATACCTTCCATTGAAGGATTCCTAGGGTCTTGGAATTTTCCAGTGAGGCCTGTCTATCCAACTAGTGGATGAAAGAAGAATGATGCATGGCTGAAACATGAATGATTGTGTGAGATTTTAGTAACCAGGGCTGGAAGTGGCGCACACTACTTCTGCCCACATTTTACTGGCCAGGACATAGTCATGTGACTACATCTGTTTGCAAGGGAGTTGACAAATATAGTCTAACAGTGTGTCCAGATGGAAAAGGAAATGGGATAGGGTGTAACACATAGGTGTCTTTGCTACAAATAGACAAACACTCATTTAGAAACTTACTTTTCCCCTAACACAGGTACACAGGAATATTTTGAATGCCAGAATTTTAAAATCTCAACAATTTAAATCGGGAGGGTCAAAGTCATGACTAATGAGGCTGGATCCTTATTAAAGAACAGTTTGTATTGCAGTTAAAGAAACTGTTTTTTGCGGTTTTTTTTTTTTTTTTTTACCCTAGAGGGTCCTGAATGTATAGTCTCTTAGCGTTCCCAGAATTTCTAGAAAGAGCACACCTATAGATAAAACCGTAATACGTGCCTACACTTTGTAGAATTTACAGAGGTTGGTGGCCTTCATGAATAACAGGGCTTGTTGAGCTATTCTGAGGCAGTACCTTCAGAAGGCGGTAGGACCTCAAAGGGATTACTGTGTGGTCACAATGTGGACAGTTGAACATAAGATCTCATATTTATCTCATATTTTCACCCTTGGAGAAGGATTTCTGGGCCTTAAAAGCAGAGGTCAGTGGACTAGAAGACACCATGATAGCTTTGGAGAGTGAACATCTTGGAACACATTTTTTTGGGGGGAGGAGTGTTTATAAGGTACAACATTTTTTCTTTTTGGTATGGACCTAAAATGGAGTGGAAGAAACCCAAATAAACCCCCCAAATCCAAATTAAATTACCAGTCAGTCTTTCCAGAGGAGTCATGAAGTCAGAATTCTTTTTGTATAAAGCAATACAGTAATTCTTTCTCTTCTGAGACTGTGGATGCAAATTCATGTCTTAGAATTGTAAGGGCCATAGTGCATGGAACATTAGTGGAATGAGCTTCAAAAGGTGATAAAGATACAGAGGGATTGTGGATAGCAACAGAAGGTACTGGAAGAGGAGTAGGGAAAGAGTTCTTGGAGAGCTATGGTTCTTAAAGTATGGTCTGTGGTTTCCTCAGGGTTCTTGAGACCTGTTCGGGAGTCCACAAGATCAAAACTATTTTTATAATAATAAGACATGATTTGTCTTTTTCATTCTCATCTCTCACTCTTCTTTGAGTGTACAGTAGGGTTTTCCAGTGGCAACATATTGAATAAGAAGTAGTTATGAGTTATAACAAAACCAAATGTCTTCTATTAAACAAGGCAAGCAAAAGATTTACAAAATTGTAAAGCACTGTCACTCTTCTTAATTTTTTTTTGAGTGATACGGTTGTTTTTCATAAAATGTATTATTTCTGTAAAAACATGCTTTACATTGCTATTTTAAGTTAAATAAACAATAAACATTTTTAAAAGTCTCAGTTTTGATTTTCAATACAGTAAATATTGATAGGCATAGTCCATATTATAAAAAAAATTCTTTAGGAGCCTCAATTATTTTTAAGAGTGTAAAGATATCCTGACACCAAAAAGCTTGGGAATACTGTACTGGAGAACTGAATCAGAGTTAAGAGAAATTAAATTCCGCTATTTGGAGACAGTGCTTCTTTCCGGAGAAGAATCTTTAGAGGAGGAGTACTAATTAGGAAGAGGCTACTAGTGTAGACAGTCACTGGTGGGATAACTGAAATTAAATACCGCTTTATACTACAACTTGTGAACCTAAAAAAAATTGCAATACTGCCATCTAGTGCTCTGTCATGAAAATATTTTAATATTTTTTTCACATGATTTACAATGATTGATTCAGAACTAAGTGACTGTATGGGCCAAATTTAATAGTTTGCCCTAAATCTTTGAGGTTTATTTCACCCAACACGTACCTTTAAATTTCTTAAGTGTCTTAAGATATTTCCTACAATTTGTAATTTCTTCTTTCTTCTTAGGATTAGGATACCGGAGAGCGTAGGATTTCAATACGGTTAATACCTCGTTTCAAACCTTGTGTTCCCGTCAACACACAATGCAGGATGATTTAGTATGGTCTTGGAAAACTGGATAAGTAACTTTCCTCACTTTGATCACTCCTATTTCTCGCTTTACAAGGCAATTTTTTTTAAAAGTACACTTTTCATTTTGCATTAATTTTAGATTTACACGAAAGTCGCAAAAATAGTACAGAAGGTTCCTGTGGTTCCCTTGATCAATTTTCCTTCTGTCAACATCTTACATTCCTGTGGTACATCCCCCTGCCGGGAGCCTGATGCAAAAAGCCCACATCAAGGCACATGATTGAAATTTCAGAAATAGAAGCTTGGGTGGGCTGGAAGAAGAAAACAGGTTATATATAAGAGATTAGGACTTGGATTGTCATGACATGTAACAACCATACTGGAAGCTGGGACATCAGGCACCAATGCCTTCAAAATTCTGAGTGAAAATTATTTTCATCACAAAACCCTGTACTAAACAAAATGTATATTAAGTGCAACGTGAGACTAAAGAAAATGCTAGAATGACGTTGTTTTGAGATACTTATCTCCTATGTTCTCTTTCTTAGAAAGGTATTTGAGGATATGTTTCTCTACAAAGAAAGAAGAAAAAGAGAGGGGAAAGACCAGAGGAGAGTTGCAGGGGCCTCTCTGAATGAAGGGAAGGAAGTCGTGGATGACAGCATTATGATGGCCCAAAAAATAAACAGTGCAGAATGGAGCAGGAAAACGGAATTGTTTGAACAATTCAGAGATTGATACTTCTGTCAGAGCTTTTGGGGACAAATTAGTGATATGTATAGAGAATAAAAAAATAAATAAATATGAAAATCAGATAGTGGATTAACCCCAGAGAAAATAAAAGTTGCATGTGTAAGTTACATGGCTCAGCTTTGAACCATACATAGTCATGGTCATGTAAATATTGATTTTATTTAAACAAAAAAGGTAATCTTGTCATCATGTTGGATGAATGGAGGAAGGTGGGGGGAGAGAGAGATAGAGAGAGAGAGAGTGAGTGAGAGAGTGAGTGAACACACACTAGATTCTTCACCTTTATACCCAGAGTTCAATAATTATTTGAAATGGAAAAAAAAAAAAAAAAAAAAAAGAGAAGCAACAGTATTATCCTAGTATTTAAACAACATAGAAGTAGATACCAGAAGAAATGGTTAAAAATAGTTATTTTTAAGAGTAGGGATTAATAACTGAGATGAATTAGCTAAGGGAATATCTAGTAGGATTATATAACTTTTAAAAGCAATGTCCCTGTATCACTTTAGAAGAGCAAAGATTGGGTTAATGGATGTCCTGCCAGGGACTTAGGATCTAGGCTGATCAACTCTGTTAAGAATCAAGGAGTGCTGGGAGAAGACAGTATAATTGCTGGCCTTGTAGAAAGTGTCTCAGATTCTCAATAAGGCTGTGCCCAGTCAAGTGCCCTTTAATCCTGCTCCCTTCTTGCGTGCATACACATTTGCATTCTGAGACTCCCTTCTGGGGTGAGAGCTCATTTCCTGTTTGCACAGTTGCCCTGCTTCTCTGGCTAAAGGGCGTCCTGTCAGCTGAGGGTGCCAGTAGGCAACTTCCAAAACTATGGCTTTCCCTCCGGGATTTGGATGGGGGGCAACCACGGCAGCTTACCAAGTGGAAGGTAGGAGACATGCCCTCCCCTTCACTAAGGCTGGGATGGATTACTTCTGGAGTGTTCTGTATGCCTGGGGAAGATGGTGGGGTAAGGAAACAAACAAACAAAAAAAAAAAGAGAAAAAAATTGAAAAGTCCACAATGTTATACAAGACCCGTTTCTCTTTTCACGTTCTCTTGTCTCTTTCTTTAAACACAAGGTGGTGGTGTGAGAGGTTCAAGACCAAGCTGGGACTGTATTTTCACTTAGTACAAGTTTATCTGAGACATTAGTTTACATTGGACCAGCTGCTTTTGTGATCGGTTTTTGAAAACACATCTGCCCCAGTCTCCTGTAAAATAGAGACCAATTTCTTCTGTTGGTTGGAAAAATGTTGGCTAAAATGTTCTGTTCTATTCCTAGTGAGCAAAAAGCCAAACCTAATTTTGTATGCCCTCCCATTTCCTGGGGCAGCTGAGAACTCGAGGGAAGCACCTCTAAGATGGACATGAGTGCCCAGAATGGACTTGGAGCCTGAATTCTAGTCTCCATCCTATTACACACAAGTGTGCAAATCCCCTGGTGCTCCTGTCGTCTCAGTTTCTTCATCTGTAAAATAGGAAGATTAACTTTACTTTTCTAAAATATGTATTTCCTACCCGCCCCAAGGAATTGGGGATTTTTAATAGATAACATGGAGGAAATATTTATTTGATCAGGTAAGTGTGTGAAATCCTGGATTAAGCAAAGCTAGGTGAGATTTCTGTAGTGGTTTCCTAGGGTTGCTGCAACAAGATCATAGCCTGTAAGGCATAAACACCTCAAGGTGTCAACACGACCATGCCTCCTCTGAGACTCTAGGTAGAATTTTTCCTTGCCTCTTTCTAGTTTCTGGTGGTGGCCATTGGTCCCTAGTGGTCCTTAGCTTACTGTATCAGTGCAATTTCTGCCTCTGTTGCCATGTGGTGTTATCCTTATGTATCCTTGTGTCCAAATTTCCTCTTCTTATAACTAATGGTATATTGGATTAAGGGTCATGTCGGATTAAGGATCTGCCCTACTATAATCTCATTTTAACCTAGCTAATTGCATCCTTGAGTGGCTAGTTCTGGCCTCCAAAACTGCAAGAGAATAAATTTCTGTTGCGCGTGCCACCCATTTTGTGGCACATTGTTGCAGCACCTCTAGACAACTAACGCACCAAGAAAAACAAGTAAATCAATCAAGGAACTAATTACTGCTATGGCAAGCACTTCGGTGATAATGGGATGCTGTGGTAAAGAGTTATGTAAAGGTGGTTACTTTAGTGGGTCACCAAGGAAGATCTCGGTGAACCAGTGCCATTTTTATCTAGAACTTAAGGGATGAGAAGAAGGGCAGCATTTGAATATGGGGAGACTTTCTAGACAAACAGAGTAAAGCTGAATTCTGCTTATGAGTCTCAGCTTCAATTGCCATTTCCTTGACCTCCAGAATGAGAATGAGGAATCTCTGCTACGCAACTACTGTAACTGCTGTGTAGAAGACATCTCCTGTGGAGGACTAGTATACATTATAATATACATATGTTATACATAGAGGCTCTGTGATGCAAGAGAATGTCTGTGGATGTCCTGGTTTGCAGGGATTCCACGCCCCCTTTCTCACTATGTGGTACTTTTATTTTTTCCCAGATCATTTCCATTTGGTCATGGAGAGTGGTTGAATAGGCTGGCTCTCTATGAGTAAAAACAAAAAGGACGATCTTGGTTAGTTTCCTTCTCAGAAGAGAGGTTAGAAAAATCTGAGGATGTTGGGGGAGGTGGGAGGTAGGGGAGAGCACTGCAATGAAATGAATAAAATGAGATTCTAGAAGGAGCAGAGCATGGTGATTATGAAGATGAGCTCTTGGGCCAGACTCTATCTTGGGCCCGAAGTCTATCTGTACTTTTTACTAGCTTTGTGACTTTGGGCAAGTTACTCTACTTCTCTGTGCCTCTGCATCTATAAGATGGGAATTATTATGGTATCTGCTGTATAATGTAGCTATGAGGTTTGATTAAGATAATGTATGTTAAGTGTTTGGCATTAGTAAGTACTCCGTGCATGATATTCATAGCTGGGGGAGTGTCACAAAAAGGTTACAGAGAATGATTCACTATAGAACTCTATAGTTAACTTGGCATAAATATGCAATTAATCACACAAGAGGACAATAGAGTGGATTTCAATGACCAACTTCCAGTTCCTGGTCACTTAGGACCTGTAGGTGACCTTAACCGGTCCACCCTGAGTTCTCTACGTGATCTCAATATTGCTTTAACTCTTTTGTCTAAGGACAGTTTGTCTTATGGTCTTCTGCATTGGGTTTGCCTGTATCTTATCTTAAGGTCTTTATTTGTGGTCTTTAACCTGCTATTAACTCTCTATCAACAGTTTTCTTTTAGGGTAGGAAACCTGATCCGACAAGCTCTGCCAAGAGCCATCAGTCTACTATCTTTGTCAACTCACAGAATGACTTTTCTATGTTTGCTTATTTTCCACCCTACCGGTTCTTACCTGTCCTTTTGTTCTGTGTTTGAATTCTAACTCAAGCATTTATTAAGGCAGTGACGTGGGGCAAGTAATTTGTTTAAGCCTCAGTTTCTTTATTTGAAAAAAATTTGAAAAAGGGTCACATCCACTTTGTAGATTTGTTCTGGGGTTTAAAGAGGTTGTTAGCATATGAGTTAATAACTGAAGAAAGAATGCTAGGTACATAGTGCTCAGCAAATACAAATACTTATGTCAAGACTATTATTATTTTTTTTCTTCTGGCTGCTTTCTGTTTCACTCTGTACTGATAAGGAGAATTACATTGTCTACTCCATTTAGTAGAAACTGTCACTTCTTGTTTTGACTGTTAATTAGAATATATCCTTGCTCTTTCTTGACTAGTTCTGCTAGCAGTTGCCAAGAGAGTTACTGTTTAACCAACGCTTGCACTATTTCCTCTACACTGTGCAGGACATGAACATGTGGCTTTGTCAAATCAGTATGACCTGAATGTAAAAGCTAAGGACAGCCTGTCACCTTTTGATTTTGGCAATCTTTGAACTTTTGTGCTGCCCTGGCCTCTGAAAGTCTATAGAGCCTTTGGAAGTCACATACACTCAGCAGAACTGAGACCGAACGTGAATTGCATTTGTAAAAAAAAAAAAATCTAACATTTAGGAGATTTGTTATAAAACATTACCATGTATTTCTTTCCATTGAGTTTCCAAAGTCAGTTGTCTGTGTAATTATATTTGTTTTCAGATACTCTCTGTATTATTATTATTATTATTATTTTCTTTATTTTAAAGATGTGGGGTACAATTCAGGGTTAGATATATAAATGTTCATTATGCAGGTACCCTTGTGGATGAGGTGTGTCCCCCACTCTCCTGGCAGTTTCCCACTACTGCCAGTTCCTTTCTTATAGTATTATGATAATTATTCAAGGTCCGCTTATGAGTGAGAACATATGGTACTCTGTTCTTTGTTTCTGTGATAGAGCACTGAGTATGATTGACTCTAAATCCATCCAAGTTGCTGCAAAGTTCATATGTTTGTCCTTCTTTATAGCTACATAATATTTCATTGTGTAAATGTACCACATTTTTAAAAAATTCAGTCCAGTTTTGATGGGCAACATGGTGGTTCCATGTTTTTGCTATCATGAATAGAGCTGCAACAAACATGCATATGCCGGTATCTTTTTTGTAGAATGATTTGAGTTTGTCTGGGTATATTCCCAATAGGGAATTGTTGGGTCACATGGAAGGCCAACTTTTAGTTCTTTCAGAAATCGGCACACTGTCTTTCAGAGAGGTTGCACTAGTTTGCATTCTCACCAGCAATGTAGAAGCGTTTCTTTTTCTCCACATCCTCACCAGCGTGTTTTCAGATACACTCTTAAAAGTTCTGAGAAGGTACTAGCATACTCTCCTTCACTTTCACACAAAAATGGAGAAAATTTTGGCTCTATTCCTTGGAATAGAAGGTCTTTGCAGGTGGGACCCACCAAGAGGGGCAGGGGCTGGTTGTCTGATGACTGGGTCTTCCAACAAGTTGATTGCTTACTTGCATATCTCACCAGATTCATGGTCTTTCCTTCTTCCTGTCTTTGTTCATGTCCCTTCTGTCTCTACTCTGGCTACTTCACTGTTTATGGCTTTCGAAAAGAGTTTAATGTTCATTATGTAATAAGAGTTGGCATGTGGTGCCTTGAGCTATTTGGTGAAAAAGCACAATCTAAATCTAATAAATAAATAATAAATAAGTGGTAAAAGCAGGAGGAAAATTATGTGGTTTAGGCGAGCTGTAAAGAATAGTGTAAAACCTATAAAGTGTATTTGTTAGACAAAAAGGCAGAAAAGAAAGTCACTCTCGATATTTTTAAGGACAGAAGAATTCCTATGATTTTTTTTTAACTCTTTATGACACTGACTTTGTCTTCTATTTTTGTCTAGCTGGAACGTGAGGCACAAAAACAGCAAGTAGCTCAGCAGGTGGCATTTTGTTTACTTTCTTAGTAGGCCACAAAGGAGCTATGAAAATGACATTTAGGACCCAATTCTACAGTTCTTATGGGCTTATAACTCCCAGTGATTTCAGGGAAGGCTCTTAAGGGGTGAACATGCTCTGCAAAATCCCACAAATCCTAAGCAAAGTCTAAACTACTCCGTTAATGCTTCCTAGTGGGATCTGAGTTTGTGGCTCTTAAGGAACCAAAGGCCTCCATTTTATGAATGCCATCACGAATGCTTGATACTGCACGGGTTACTAATATAATGCTTGATTTTGATTTAACTTTGATTTTGGTTTTGCATTGCCAGAAATCAGGGGTTGCTTCAGACTTTGACCATCTCTGTTTGCCTTATGTTCAAGATTGAGTCCTATAGTTAAGAAATTTTGAGTGATTTTTTTGCACTAAAAAATCGGGAGAAAGAAGAGGGCAGCTGTATTTGTTGGTCTTAGGTTGAGTTTATGGTGATTCTATACAAATGGTTTCTTCTCTGGTTCTT